GCATATGCCTAGCAGGAATTCATACAAATGTCAGTCACCAACAATTGAGGCAAAAAACACACAAGAATTGTATAAATATGATTGGAATATTATTGTAATTTGATTGTCGTGTTTTAATTCTTATTTTAGTATGTGTGCTGCCGAAGTGAGCACATCGTGTTTTAATTCTTAATGATATACTTGCTCAGCTTCATCTTTTTAAATTTGTTTAGTATACATTTGTAGTACATAATTACTGCACTCCTTGTAGGGAGTTGTTATAGGTACATAACACATCTAAATTCTTTTTCTTAAATCCCCTTTCCATCTCCTCTCAATCCTCCCCTTTATTATTGTTTGTTTTTTAAGTTTGTAGACAGAGTCTTGCTTACTCATCCAGGCTGTGCTTAAACTTGGAATCCTTTTGCCTCAGCCTCCAAGAAAGGTGGGATAATAAGCATGTGCCACCATGCCTTTTTTAATCTTTCATTCATAGGTTGCAACCTGTTTATAGACCAGCAGGAGAACTTGGAATCCAGAATTTATAACTGTTTCTTAGTTGGACTATAGATCCCTTATTGTAAGTTTCAGGTGAGAAAGACTTAGTTTGAAGCTTTGTACTGGTGTAAAATGTGAGATCACTAGCAGACAGAGAATGGAACAAAGAAACCCTTGTATTTCTTAGAATGTTCTCCTTAGAGTGTGTTGGCTTTCTATAATTATACCTCAGATTCATTCAGGACTCATTGGGCGTTGGTTTGTTCTGCTGTTCTAGATTGTTAGGAAGCTAAATTTGAAGTGATGTCTGTTCAGTAAATTGAAAGTGTCTTAGTTACTTTTCACTCATTGCTGGGACAGAATACCCAACACCCAAAATGAAGGAAGGAAAGGTTTATTTAGCTCACAGTTTGTGGAGGTTTTAGTTTATATTTGCTGGCTCCAAGGCAAAGGGCAGCAGTTCACGGCTGCAGAAAACAGTGTGAAGATCAGAGGAGGAGCTACAGTGTCCATCAAGCCTTTTTCTTTCCCTTCTGCACTGACTGAAGATCTGTGCTGCACTGCGAAGATCAAGCTTCTCCAAAGTGGTGCTCCTGTGAAGAACAAGCTCCTCCAAAGGCCAGGACTCTCCAAGGAAGTGGGGCAGGGAAGCCAGCAGAAAAGCCTTTTTCAATTCTTTTATATACTTTTTGTGCTGAGTCATTCTGTGGCCCACTCTTCCAACAAGGACCAATCACACCCCAGGTTGGGTCCTCTCTGTCCTGAAGGGCAGGCCCCCATGACCAGAGCTGCTGGTTCAGCAACTAGCAACTGATTCAGCTAAGTTGACACAACGTATCAAGCACTACAAGGGAAGAGAAGCCTGCATATTCCAATTTTACCTTTCTTCACAGTCTCCTGTTTTAGTGCAACATTTCCTCTTCTTGGAGTGATCACTTTGCTGTTACCCCATTTGGTTTGAAGTTCATTTTGACTTAGAGATCCTCTTCACTAGAGCCACCACCATGTAGGTACAGAGTACAGTTTTCAAATTGTTAAATCTGCTTATCTTGGTTTTTCAAAAGCATATAAAGTTATAAACTAGTGTCTCCAGCATTTTGTGATCATAATTTGTTTTGAGATGCCTTTGAAATTGGCACTAAACTTTATATTTAATAGCATTTTCAGTTTAAAATTCAGAAGAACATTGAAAATCTTTCTTCTCTTTTTTTTAGATCATCCAATAATGATGGGCTTTGAGCCCCTTGTTAACCAGAGGCTGCTTCCACCTACCTTCCCTCGATATGCAAAAATAATTAAAAGGGAAGAAATGGTTAACTATTTTGCAAGATTAATAGATAGAATAAAAACCGTGTGCGAAGTTGTGAACTTAACAAATTTACATTGTATCCTGGTAAGTACAAGTCTGATCTCTAGTGTAACTGGTTTAATAACAGTAGTGTACAGTTGTATGTGTATGCTTGACCACATGTGTTACAAAGATGTACTTGCATACATACATTCCATTTAATATTTATAAGGCATTCATACTACTTATTTTAGAAATTAAGAAGTAAAGTTAGAATTTAGCTCATTCACCCAAGTATTAGGAATGGAATTTAGATCCTGGATCCTGTCTTTTTTTTTTTTTTTTTTTTTTT